CTTGCTGTATAATGAATGATTTTTGAATAGAGAATTTCCTATGTTCATGTTTTGATGTCCATTTCTTATTCTGAAATGAGTGACGTATAATATTCATTCAATTCTCTCAATCACCTTTCTTAAATTTTTCAAATGGTCCACCAGAATGCTGTCATGAAATATATTCTTGAAAATCAGATAGGCGATACCTGGAGTGTATTATCAAGGGATGTGTTATTTTTCTTGTGTCTTGTTTCTTGGGCAGGAAAAGAGACAAAAGAGAGTTTAAGATGGGTGAAAAATACACAGAAGTAAAGTTTACCATCATAGTCCTGTTTGGTTGAGTAAAAACAAACTACTTAACAAGCTCCCTTTAACAAGTAGAAAACAGAATTTCTTTATTCTATAAATTTTTGCATTAATTATTTTTGTTAAGTATTAGCATCCAATCTGAAACATAGAATGTGACAAACATATAGGGTGAGGACACATGGAGTAGTGTGGCCTTACTTATACTTGGTGTTTTATAGGGATTGTCTGTCAATAGTGAATAGAAAATGACTAGGGGGGAGGGAGTGGATRATTTGGCTTGTGGAAGAATTTATTAGACCCTTAGTAAGTAACCCAAATATATTTCACAAAATAACAAAAATTCTAGTGGAGATTTTGCCTTGTAGGATATTATTTGGCCCCTCTTGTTCAGGAAATGTTACTTCTAAATCATCCACCCTCTCCCTCAAAAGTCTAATTATCAGCCCCTAAAATAAACAAATGGAATTTAAGACTTATGTTAATTTATTCAAGTGCATTTTGGAAATGCAGGCAGATATCTATATATAAGTATAGCATTTCCATTTATACCAAAACTGACCCTAATATAAAAGGAATACAAAGGATTGAAATCTGAACATGTTTTTAGAACTTTACTAAAACATAATAAAAAGGTAAAGTGGATCCAATATCCTTCAAAGCCAAGAATAAATGGCATTGTTGAATGATAAGCAAGTTGAAAATGGAGAGTTTTGATTTTTTGTAAATTTGAAGAAAAATGTATAATTATCAGAAGTAGGCAAAATAAATTACATGTATGTACCTAACCAGGTAGTCCCCTCTCACAACCATTATGAGGCTCGCTCCTAGGTCTGGGAACAAGCCTCATAACGGCTGTGAGGAGACTATAAGGTTGGAATATAGAGTCTCGTATTTTAAAGAGAGTACCTTATTGATTATTTKAGATCATAATGTGCACTCCATTTCGTTACTTGCTTGTACAAAAAAGAGCACTATTGATATGTAAAAAGTCAAATTAATGTACACTGTCATTTAAATAAAGAATGAAACCAACATTTAGAAGAGTGTTTTACATTTTATAATATTATCATCATTTGCAAAATGCAGAGAAAAGTTGTTGTAGWAGTTTTTGTTCTTTTCTTAAATTTTGTCCAGAATGATGGATACTAAAACCATAATTAGACTTGGTCACATGGACAGTGGATCTCGACGTCCAATTGATAAGAACTCTAGGTCTACTGTCCGTTTCTCAACGTGACTGGCCGTAATTAGACAAAAGTCAATACAACATTAAACCCTGAAATACATAAGAGTGTACTATACCTAGAAGCTCTGCAAATCACGGAAATTACAGTAAAAATGCTAATCAGCTGGAGCCATTGTCCARCATGGAACCAGACAATGTACACGTGTGGGCACTACTAATTGCACTCAGTTAATTCTTGAAAACGGATTTGCTATTTGAGAAATTATAGAGGAGTGTTTTATAAATCTTTTGTTTATTTACAACAAATAATTCGTTTTACACATTGTCTAAAGTGTCAMAGACGTCACAACTACTTAAACAGCTCTTTTTGTTTTCCGCCATCTTTGCTTGCTTTCCTAAGAAGGAATAGCATGAAATATCAACACAACTTTAATTTATCATAAACTTTGCGTGGAGCCATGTACAGCCTTGCCGATATCAAAGACCTAGTTAATCATGTTGCATGCATTGTGGTCTAGCTTCAGTACACATCACCATATTTAGGCATCACATAAAAAAGATGTTCATCAAAAGTAGACCACAATGCAATGCATATTCTATGTCAAAAAAGACATTTCTATAGCTCGGCTTGGGATTTTCACCATGGCATATTTTTTTGTACGTACCTTGGTGATTTCGTTTGCTTTCTCTCTGGCAAATGCGATTTGTTTCTTTGTCAATTTAGCCATGTGTAGTTTAGTCCTGGATAATATATAGAAATGAAAGAAAGTTATAGTGCTTAGAAGGAGGCAATTCCGGGAGAAAGACCCTTAGGAATAAATTCGGAAAAATTAATTTCCGACCTCGCTGGGATAATATATATGACGAAAATATGATAAGTCTTTGTTTATTATTAAATCAATTTAGATCTTTCACTGTAGTGCTATTGATTCCCTCTCTTTTCTTCTCTTAATTCATCATCATATACCATGAAGTCATCGACTTTATCATGGGCCATTGACTTACGTGTACTGCGACAGATCTCGCCTGAAATCGCTCTTCACCTTTGTATTTTGTTTAAACATCTCTTCTGGAGAAAAGCCAGTCTACAGAGAAGTACAACAAAATGAATAACCTTGCAGAACTTCAATAAGGTAAAGCTGTATAGTAATCTTTATCTATTCAGAATATTTTCAGCCTCATATAATCCCTCAGCTTACTTCACTTGAAGTTTGCTTTGGCTCCAGTTTCTCATCGATGGAYGCAAGGATTTGTGGATTCCCCCACATCTGAAAATGTAACAAAAGAAGTTCACAAAGTGCAAGAGGAAGCATCGTCGGAGCTAGCCKATGTATAGTASCATTGTTTAATTAAGTKTAMTACTAACCTTGAATACTTTGCGCTTGGAGGATTTGGAGTGAACACCTGAATTGCTGATTTCCTTGTCAGTTTTGAAACACCTCTTTTGAACTGAAGCATCTGAGACGTGCAAAATAACAATTGATTCTTAAAAGAAGATAAAAGGCTGATTTGTGAAAATAAGAGCAGCAATGAATACTAATTCCACTCTACTATATCGCATTGGCTATAAAATGACTTCTTAATACCAGGTTTTRTCTTTTTTGCCGACTTGTTCATATTCTCCTGCAAGATTAACGTAGCAATAATCAAATAATGTTTTCTTTATATTATCTAAAATGGGCAGCAAAGTTAGTGTCACGAACGATTGTCGTAGAAAACTTACCTTGATGATTTTCCTCCCCTTTTCCTCGTCAAAAKCAACTTGCCGTTTGCAGAACCTGGTCTTGTCAAGTTTTGTTCTGGCAAGAGGAAAATAGACAATAACTCAAAGAATACTTATAGATCCTATTCACATACACACCACTGAGATATTTATTTTTTTCATCATTAAGGTTAAATATAAGTTCAAATAGGCACAGGCACAGGGCTGGGGCTAGGACTAGGATGTACGCAACTGTCTAGGTGTGAGTGCAGTTAGGTGTTGGTGACGGCTTAATATAATCAATTAGGCTAATAATTGATCAATATACTTACGTGTACTGAGACATATCACTCTTGAAATCAGACTTGATCTTAGAATTTCTGGCGAACATTTCTTTGGGTGTAAAACTAGTCTTTGAAGACGAACTCCTTTCCAATTCATCATCAATTTGACCGAGAGCGGGATGCTCCCACTGCTACAAAGAGATCGAAAAATTTAATTTTTATTTAAAAAAAAACTTTTATTATTAACTATTTTTGCATCAATGATGAAAAAAATAAAAAAAATAACGCTTAAAGTTTAGGATCTAGCACAGCTAACCTCTAACTTTTTTCTTTTTGAATCGAGTTTACCACAGCTGATCTCACAATCCGTCTTGAAACACTTTTCATCTATAAAAGGATTGTTATTGTTAGTATGTAAGCTTATATCAAAAAGTCAAGAATACATGTAGCTCAATAAAACCCTGCAATTAACTTAACTGGCTTAGAGGGGTGACAGATCTATATATGACAAATTTACGAAAAGYAAACTGAAATCGCGAGAATCAATACATATAAAAACGTGCGATTAACTATGGCGTACCTTAGCCTACGTAGCAGACAATTTTCAGTAGTGGTAGTGATTGTCCGCACAAATTTTGCATGTGCAGGAGACATTCGAACCGATAAAAAGGTCTGCTACAGAGGGTATGCTTACCTGGCTTTAAGGTTTTCGACGTCTTTATCCTTTCCTAAAATATAAAAATTGATGACTTGTTATTTAGCCATGAAATATCACTGAACGAAACTCAGGAGGTAGCAATTTTTTGAGTTTGACAATTCCATGCACTGATAATAAAACGGATTTTATGTTGAAATCTCACCTTCATGATTTCATTCGCCATCGCCTCAGCAAAAACAACTTGCTGTTTGCTCAGCTTCGTCATGTCGAGTTTTGTCCTAGATAGAAAATATAATCAGTTTTCGTATTGTAACGGTTTACATTGAGCGCTCATTATTGAAAGCCAAATCATAGCTAAAAGGTTTCAGTCACTTCGAGAATATCGAGAGAATAGTAAGCATTGTTCATCTTCAGCATCATTAACAGTCAGTTAATTAAATAGACATACTTACGTGTATTGAGACATATCGATTTTCAAATCAGTCTTGATCGTAGGATTTCTCGCRAACATTTCCTCTGGTGTAAAAACAGCCTTGGAAGACGATTTCTCCAACTCATCGTCGAATTGATCGAGATTGGGATGCTCCCACTTCTACAAAGAAATGAAAACAGAGCGTGTTCAATCCCTACAGGCATATCAACGTAAACAAAAAAAAAAAAGCAAACAAGAATATACAACAATTTTATATTAACAGTAACTAACCTTAAATACTTTTTTTGCCGACCTTACTTTGCCATGACTGATCTCACTATCTGTCTTGAAACTTGCTAAGTATGCTATAAGAAAGATATGTATTATTTCCCATTGGGAAAAAACATGAAATTACTAGAATACTTAAACATGGAAAATTGTTGGCAAACAACAAAGATTCTTTACCAGGTTTTACTGTTTTCGTGGAATTCGTTGTATTCTCCTAAAACATCGAATAGATGACTTTTATAAAAAAATATTTTATGGTGCTGTGATAACATTGTTTTTTTTTTTAACATTTGAGTTTCATACCTTCATGATTTCACTCGCCTTCGCCTCGGCAAAAGCAACTTGTTGTTCGCTTATCTTGCTCATGTCCAGTTTGGTTCTGTCACGGAAACAACATTTTTATCAGAAATCTTGAACAAGACTTAACTGAAAAACTTAACAAAATGTGCGCTAGAACAACAATAGCGCTTACAAATATCATGACCGCTATTGAAAATAAGTTTTCACACGCAGATTGGTCGAATAATAAATTAGCGTGAAATAGTGGGAGTTCATTAGCTCATATTGATGGACCCATTAGCCAATAATATTGATCGATCGATATATATAACAGCATACTTACGTATACTGAGACATATCACTSTTGAAATCAGTTTTGATTGTAGTATTCCGGGCGAGCATTTCCTCTGGAGTGAAACCTGTCGACGAATTGCTCTCCAATTCATCGTCGATTTGGTGRAGTTCGGGATGTTCCCACATCTTTTAAGAGAATAATCAAAAATGGAAATGTTGTTTTCTTATTAGAAATAAGAGGAAAATGTTACAGAGTGCATGACGTATAAAAAGAAAAAAACTGAGGAGAACCAACCTTCAGTTGTTTTCTTGTCGACTTAAGTTTGCCATGCCTGATCTCACTGTCTGTCCTGAAACCCTCAGCTATAAGCAAGGAAATTACTTATTGAGGTCAATTAATAGTTGAAAAGAAAATTTGAATAAATTTCAAATTCATGCGTCAAATGCGAAATAACAAGACTGAATAAATTCCTTCTAGAAATTGTATCAGMTGAGATTTCTACCTAAAACAAGAAATCGACCATGAACATGTTAAAAAATTTCTATACCTGTTTTTTCAGATTCCACCGGTTTGGTCACGTTTTCCTAAACAATGGAACAGACGATAAGTCTATCTGTAACAATTTTCATTTTGAAAACGCAAGCAAATCATTTCATGTAATTGGTTGCCTTTAGCTAGCACTCCGTTGTGATTGGCATGGGCGTATCCGCAGGATTTTCTTTGGGGGGGGGTCCTTAAATACCAAATTGTCACTGTGACGTCAACATGATATCATATCAATCTATGCCTTTTCAACCTTTTTTGGCTTTGAAAGGGGGTTGACGGGCACCCTGTGACCCCCCTGGATACGCCCATGATTGGCTGGCAAAAAGAGCCGATTCGGACTCAACTTAGTRCGATACATACTCTATAAATCGCACTATTTTAAACTGATCAGATCACAGGATTTAATTGCTAGTGATCTCAAAATGGCTAGAATAAATGACGTTAAGTTATAATTTAAGAACTATAATTTTCCCCTTGATATGATATGATTTGGTTTTTACAGTATGATTATACCTTCATTATTTCCTTCGCCTTTGCTTCGGCAAAACTAATTTGTTCGCTGGCCAGCTTGTTCACCTCAAGTTTTGTCCTGACATAAACGGAATGATATTTTATCTTAAACGTTTGGACTTACAGGAAAAGGCATACAGAAATTTCGAGAATATATTGATACTTACGTATACTGAGACATATCACTCTTGAAATCACTCTTGATCGTTGGATTTCTGGCGAACATTTCTTCTGGAGAAAAGCCTCCGGTTTGTTGTGCAAAAGTCGCCTCCAGCTCATCGTTGATTTTATCAAGATCGGGATGCTCCCACTTCTGAAAAGAACAGAACAAAATATGATTATCTGAACATAGCTGACAATGTAGAATGATGCTAAGAAAAAATCGTAGAAGCGTATAATTCTACATCTCAAGTGACTAAGTAAGTACAAACTAACCCTGAATACTTTTTTTGTCAACTCTAGTTTACCATGGCTGATCTCACAATCCGTCTTGAAACCATCTTCAGCTAAAAATAAGTCTAACTGTTGGATGTTTTTCACTATTTTCTACTGTTGTAGCAAATAATGAGAAAATGAGTAAGAAAAGGAAACAAATAGAAAAGAACAAAAAGGAAGAAAAGAAATCAAAGGAAAAAAAGAAAGAAGGGGAAAAAAGCAAACGGTATCAATTTGCCTTTACCTTTTAGCACTGGGTCCTCAGGTTTACAATCATGCGCCTAAAATACATACAAAACCAGTATCATTATTATTTATCGTCTGCTTTAAGATGCGAAACTAATGAAGCAACCCTACTGAATTAAAAATGAAAAAGACGAAAAACTTACATTGACGGTTTTCCTGTCGAGAAAATCTTTTTCTTGTTGATCGCATGATGGTAAAGTCCTTTCCATGTCGGATACATTTTTACTGTAAAAATACAACGGTTATTGGATATATTTTGGCAATATTTTAATACTTCTGATGTCCGATAATGAATGTATTGATAAAATTTTCATACTTACAGTACTTGCACAAAATTTTCAGCTCTCGTTTCAATGTGAATTTCATTTTTCTGACAAACAGAAAATCACATATCAGAAAAAAAAAGCAATGGAAACGAAACAGCAAAAATTTAGCCTGTGTTACATCCGGAATAGAAATTCCGGATTGTGCATCTATTGCATGGCTCGGAGTTTTCATTGGCTAGCATCGTCACGGATTGTCACGTGGACGTGGTTCACGACGAGCCTGCTTGGACTGCGTGGGGCTCGATCACTGCTTTTCTAAGCCAAGAGTGCGACACAGAAAACTTTCTGCAAGGAACATTTTGGAGCGAACATTGAAGAGAATGAGGAAAACCATAACGTAAACATTGCACCTTCGTCATTAGCTCTCAGCTTTGTGTGCACCAGCCGCAGACCAGTCGCAAAAATCATCCAGAAACTTTGCTTATAAAGCACGAAAAGCAAAAAAAGAACATTTTCCTCCATGTTTACTGTTCAATTCATGCAATAAGCATATTTAAAGAAACTCTGACTTTGAAAGAAGAGAATTTACGGCAGAAGATGGTAGAAGAGAAAGTCGAGGAAGCCTTAGCTTCTTTAACGACGGTAAGTTGAAAACCACTTTCTTTTCTTGCAACCAATGTACCGTGTCCTTGTTGAGCTTGGTCAAACTCGATGAACTTCTTTGGCTGTCTTCTAGCTTGTGTATTAGATGTCGGTAATAATATAAAGCACAACTACTTTTTCTTTACAAGCAACGTTTACTTAGAATTAGAAAGCCAAAATGCAAGAAGAAAACTGCTTTCTCTTTGTAGGTCGGTAAGCTTATTTTTGTTGTATACGTAGTAGCCGGCTTCAAAGTTTCAACTACTCAAATAAGCCGAACACATCTCTAAAACGATTTACTATTTTAATGTCTTTGGATTTGCCATTGCAAGTAAACGTTGAAAGACATAAAACCCTAAAAAACATCCTGTGTATTTCACGCAATATAGACATGTAATATAAGTGAAAATGCGATCCGAAACGACGCAGCTTTCTGACAGGATTCGTATCCAATCAGATTAAAGATCAAAGTGAGCTGTCCAATCAGAGCTCTAGTTTCCCCACATTTTTCTAGTTTCCTTAGCATTGAAATGGTTTCTTTTCTAAACCATGATGCTATTGTTAAAATTACTACGAATCAGTAAATGCTGTTATTATAGAGTTTTTTTTTATGAGATCATCAAAAAAGGATATACTTTCAGTCAAGTTTGAAAGCGAAGCGTTATTACATGTACTTCATAATAAAGACGATTTTTCTACCTTCACTTCTTCAGTAACGTCTACTTGGGTTTGGCTATTCAGTTCTAGAAAAGAACAAACAAATGGCTGCTATCGATCGTTTATCAAACAAATGAAAAAGTATTTTAAAACATTCACAGTATTCACGAAAAAAATGATTCTGAATTTAAATGACTTATTAATGCAAGGAACGAATTTCCAAATAAACACATGAAATTATTAAAAAATTAGAAGATATTTCATAGCCTGAATATCAGACGTCTACTCTGGGTCATGTCGCTTCTAATTCCCCGAGTGAGATTTCAAAATAAAAAACAAAAATAAACAAAACAAACAAAAAACAAAAAAAAAAAATAATAAAAAAATATATATATATACCATTATTGTTGTTTCTTCGGCGCCTTTTATTTTGACGACGTTTTCTTTTTCTGTTTTCTTTCAAATTTGCAATTCTGTTGGAATTCTTGACATATTTGATCCTATCAAAATGAAAAGGATGCATGAATCAAGTTTAATTAGATGAAAGAATTTGATTTGTAAACTAATAAACCTCGTAAATAGACTTACCAGAAAGCCAACAGGAAAAATACAAGAACTATCACAAGAAAACTGGACACCGAGTTGGTCGTGATGTTGGTTGTTTGTACTTCATACTTAGGCACACTATTTCTGTACCTAGTTCTTGCATGTGTCATATCGAGTACGCCTACAAAATTCACAAAAGAKGAAAATATTACCCTTATTGACAAAGAATGAGAAAGAAAGGGAAATAGCCTTGAGGAAGAGAGAAAGGAGAAGTTTGAAAAGAGATAAGACTGAGAAGAAAAGAGTAAAGAGAAGCAAAGAAAGAAAGGATGACTGACAGCAAGAAATAAAGAGCCAAAAACAAAGGGAAAAAAGCAGGATGAAAGGAAGATGAAAGGCGAGAAAGAAYAAAATAGAAAAGCGAAATGAAAACGCCAGCAATGCATGTTACATTTAAAGACAGTTCGCCACCAAAGCAAATAGAACCGGAAGAAAATGATTTGAACTTGCGCTTACCTTACTCGGAAGCATAATGTTCAAAAAATGTTAACGTTTCGCTAAGCTATAAAATAAGTTTGAATGCAATGCAATAAGTCATTGCCGCTCTGATTCACAATCTAAATGCAACTGATCAATCAGGAACTAATTAGAAGTAATTATGACGTCATAGAGCGAGCCTATTACCAGGTCATCTCGGAAAGGTGTGGCAAGGAAGCATAGTATTTTGATGGAAATCCTGTTCCTCGAGTCCCCAGAGTTGAAGAGTTGGCTGTTTTGTCATCTATAACTATACCTTGAAGATCTCGAAGAAAGCTGTAGTCTTGGATGTATCATTTAACAGTGGGATACCTGTGGTGAAAGAAATCTTTACCACAGGAAGCCCATCATTTTAACTTGGTTTTCAAAATGGCGGACGATAGTGAATCCTCACAAGTGCAAAAAATCTCAGCAAAATCCAACAGACGAAGGTTTATTGGTAGTCGAGCTGCTGGGTCAAAGAATACTTCTACATTAAGTGGTATGTACTATTGATAATCTGATATTGATAAGCTATTCAATACTAATCTCGTGTTAACTTAAAATCCTAGTGAGTCACATGAACATGAGGTGGTGGTGATTCACGTCTTTTCGCTAGACTGATTCCGMCAGTCTGTCAGGTCGCTTTTTTTTGCTCCCGGACAGTCGACAGCTTGAGCGACAAACCGAAAAATCGAGGAGCAATACTACGACTTATGGAATCAGTCTAGTATTTTCGCAAGCTTTCGTTAAAACAACGTTATTTTCGTTTGTTTGATTAGAAACTGGAAAATTAGCTCAAAGAACAGTGGCTCAAATTCCAGATGATATTTTGAACAATGCTGAATTGCAAGAAGCAATAAAACAGGTTTGTGATAATATCCCTGATCTGACATATAAAACCAGTGCTTGACTAAATAAAAAAAGAGGAAGATCAACATGGCTAGAATGCGATGCACATATGTGCTTAGTTTCAATTGTGAAAAGTGAATTCATTAATTTAGTCATCATCTTGTTGATGTCACTTTATGATCAGAGGCAGGATCAGTAACRGTCCCTAAGTGACCTAAACTATCAGTCCATATTGGTGTGATGTGCCTTTGCCTCAAGAATTTTACACTAGGCAAACATAAGATAGTGCCACATTGTTTACTTAAAAAAAATTATCATAATACATCAAGTATATAATCTATTGTATCTATTGTAGCTTGCATGTTTTTTATGTATAATATTTTGGCTTTTCMCTTGAGCCTATAAGTTAACACCATGTGAATCTATTAAAAATGATAAAATAATGAGTTTTAATTTTCCATTTGACATGCAGCTTCCATCAAATTATAACTTTGAAATATACAAAACAGTTTGGAGAATCAAAAGCATTGGAGCCAAAAGAGGTAATTCAAAGAAAATTCAAAGGCAGCCCCATTTCTTCTAAAAAATATGCYAATTATTTTGATACTGTTATTTTAATTATAATTTATAATTTTGGGTTTGGTCAAAGACATCACTTATTATAAATGTTGAATTGATAGAAAAAACATCAAATAAACCTATAGTTTATCATKAGAAGAGTGTTATTGAAAAATGGTAAATTCTACTTAGATTACTAACAKTTATTGTTTCAATAGTTGCACTTCAGATGCCTGAAGGATTACTACTRTTTGCATGTACAATAGCTGATATTTTACAAAGGTACTTGAATTTGATTCCCTGGATAGTTCGTACATGTAGTACATTTTGGAAAATAGCATCTGTAATAGTTGTAGCAACAGTATGTAGCTACACGAGTAACAGAAAGGTTAGAAGTATATAGGCCAGAAGCATTTCTGGCAATTGATAGCATTAGTGGAAGTACAATACACTAGATGTAATTCACAATATTCTATATTCAGGCTCAGTGAACATGAACAGAACATAGAGCTGAGACAGTGTTCTTTGACACCTCAGTTTAATGCTTTGTTYATGGCCACCAAACCTGGGTATGGAAAGTGATGAATAAAATGCAGTTGGTAAACTCTTACCTTACATTGTTGTAACATTAGATTTACAGGGTGTGATACAGTCATCATGGGTGATGTGACATATGGAGCATGTTGTGTAGATGACTATACAGCCCGTGCCTTGGGCTGTGATCTGTTAGTACACTATGGACATAGCTGTCTTGTACCTGTTGATGCCACTTCGGATATAAAGATGCTTTATGTATTTGTCGACATTAAAATWGACATTTCTCATTTTGTGGATTCAGTCAAGTTTAACATCCCCCAGGGGTCTAGCATTGCACTTGTTAGCACAATCCAGTTTGTTGCTGCATTACAGGTAGCTACGTATTCATTATCTAAAGACTGCTATTGATAGAAAGATTTGTATAAGAAATAAGAATTGGACACAATAATAGTAGTTTATGTTACATGTATGATTTCATTTCTA